CCCCAAACACACAAAAGGAAAATTTTCCACTGCTGGCACGCCTGCGAAGTATGAAATCACTTGGCGGTGACGAGAGACGATCGGGTGAAAATCGTCTCATTTGCATACTCGAAGTAAAGTGTAAAGGCGATAAGTGGAAATTTTCCTTGTGTGCGCGGGGCCTGAAGAAGAAAGAACACTTATTTGTAATATTCATATATGCAAGTTATTTCACCACGGCTCTCCCCCCAAACATTTCACAGACATGAGGACACGATTTCAAAACTTCATGGCAGTACATAATTCGCATCAGAAGTTATATTATGTATCATTTCAGTGAAAATCTCAAGGTCCAAAGGGTTCACCGACAGATCACTTGGTATCACGTCGGACTATAGTGTGGACGGCCCAGGTTCGAATTCCCGAAAGGGGCGTTCTTATAAAACAGCCCGGGGGACTGCTCAAGGTTTTCTACCCGCTTGGACTTCCCTTACAGGAAATCAGATGGGCATTTGACTGGGAGTTTCCGCTTCTTAAAAGGGTTTGGTTTTTTTCTATAGTGTCTATTGGAGCGTTAATCCAGTATCATATCACGTAGTACAATGATTTATTAGCGACGTCAGCGGTCGACAGCGACTCAGTCACGGGCTTTGAGTCATGAGAATGAAAAAATCTCTCTCTCTCTCTCGATTTAGGTGGCATTAACATTTCTCCGCCACAGACACAGCCAAAAAATATGTACATTATAAAATCAATGTCAGACTATTATTATGATAATACTGTAGATAATTCTAAAGCGTACACTCTTGTACAGCTATAAATGCTTTACAATTACAATACCTTCCTTTGAGTTTGAGTGAAGAGAAGCATATCGACACAATAAAGTTTTTTAAGTGCGGAGAAAAAAAAAGACGCAGCAGGGGGAAAGAGAGGAAGTAGGACAGAAAGAAAAATACGTAAAAACCTACCAGTGGCGCTCTCCAACCATCCTCACCCACATCTCAACACAAAAGACAAGTCGTACGTGAACGTTAATACATAAATTATATTTTCATACCAATCGTTATTACGCAGTTGTTTGAGAGTTTGGGCAACGGACAGGGCATCGGAATAGCATTTTGTCTCCACATTCGGAGTTTATCTTTCTTCTTGTTCAGCTGGCCTAACGGGGGACAAAGGACTCCGATACAAAAGGACGAAGAGTCATGACAACTCTCCAAACAACATGATATGTTCAAGAACAACACTTTTGGGCCACACTCTACCACGTCGAACACAGTCCGTTGCATGCA